AATATATATTTTGTCTGGGCACCATATAAGGTGCAGGAGGTACAACGATTTTATTTCAACCATAAGAAGTTTACAATCTAGCTAGTGGGAAAGACACGTGAACCTGTGAAGAGATCATCTTTCTGTAATATGGTAACTGACAAGTAAGGGAAAAAAAATTCTTGCAAAATTGTGATAGACAAAGTGAAGTAACAGTATCCAAAAGGAAGAGCCAGACTCTGGAACCTGAGTCTTCCATGTATAACCTTGGACAAGATACTGAACTTCTTTAGGCTTCAGTTTTCTCATCTGTAAAAAGAATACTAGAACTTACCTTGAAAAAATTGTTGCATAGATTTAGAAGAGATTCTTTATGTGATGTGCTTACTTCTTAGTAGTCATTAAATAAATAGTAACTATTGGTAATATATGCTATTAATATAGAGAACATGCAAATCAAAACACAACTACTGAAAAGAGGAAAAGAAAAATTAACAATGTGTATGAAGAGATCACTCATAAAAGAATAAATACAAATAGTGTATTAGTCTGTTCTTATCCTGCTAATAAAGACATACCCAAGACTGGGTAATTTATTTTTTTAAAAAAAAGAGGTTTAATAAACCCACAGTTCCACATGGCTGGGTAGGCCTCACAATCATGGCACAAGGCAAGGAGGAGCAAAGTCACAACTTACATGGCGGCAGGCAAGAGAGTATGTGCAGGGGAACTGCTCTTTATAAAGCCATCAGATTTCATGAGACTTACTCACTATCATGAGAACAGCATGGGAAAAATCCACCCTTGTGATTCAATTACCTCCCAATGACACATGGGATTATGGGAGCCACAATTCAAGATGAGATTTGGGTGGGAACACAACCAAACCATATCAAATAGAAAATAAGAAAAGAGCATCAGTCAAACTTAACTTATAAAAAATAAAAACTAGAATGGTGATTTTTTTACCATAAAATTTACAGTTTATTTAAAATTAATACTTAACTGCAGCAAGACTGTGGTGAGATAAGCCATCAGAGGCAGCACCAGTGACAGTGCAGAAACTTGTAAGCTTTCTGAAAAGGAATTTGTCAACATGTATCAAAGACCTTCAAAATGTTTCTATGGCTATTGGCCCAATAATTCTACTTCTAGTTTAAATATGCCCATTACACTGTGCTCTCTAAAATTATAACTTTTTATAACAACCTAGATATAGAATAGAAAAATGGTAAAAACTTTATGCTACATCCATAAGATAGACCATCATGCAGTGATAAACATAAAACTTGGCAACAATTTTTTAATCATATAATTATGATTTAAAAATTAGGAGAGGCTAGGCACAGAGGCTCATGCCTGTAATCTTAGCACTTTGGGAGTTCAAGGAGGGAGGATCACTTGAGCGCAGGTGTTCAAGACCAGTCTGGGCACCATAGTGAGACCCCATTTCTACAAAAAATACAAAAAAAAAAAAGTAAAGAAGGTACAAACTTGTTATAATCAGTGTAATCTTTGCTATGTAAAAATGTATGTGCATTAGTAAGCTATTGCTGCATAATGAACTACTTCTCCCCCAAAACTTAATGATTAATCAAAAAGCCATTTATTTCACTCATCATTCTGCAGGCAATTTAGGCTGTGCTCAGCTGGGCAGTTCTTTACATCTAGGTTTATCTCAGCTGGGCTTGTTTGGGCACCTTTGATTTTAGCTGGCATGGTAATTCGGAGTGGGCTACTCTAGAATGATCTCAGATTGGATGATTTATCTGTTCTTCAAATGATCTATTCTTCAGCAGGCTAGCTTGGGGTTGTGCTCATAGTGTATCTGGGCTTCAAGAGAGAGCAGAAATGTGCAAGGCTCAGAATAGGCACACCATCACTTATGCCACATTCTATTTTCCAAACTAAGTCATGACAAGAACTAAAGGGGTGGAAGGAAGAGATTCTATCTCCGGATAGAGGGAGCTTCAAGGTCACATATCAAGTGGCAAGAATACAGGCAGGGATGGAAAATTGGGGGAATTTTTGTAATTAAGCAATCATACCATGCATAGAGAAAAGTTTAGAAGATATTACACTAAAATATTGACATTGTATTCTGAATGGTAGAATTATTGATAATTTTTTGTTTTGTATACTTTTCTGTTTTTCACCTTTTCTATAAATAAGCAAGCTTTATTTTTATAAGTAGATAAAAATAAATATGTAAAAATTTTTACCCACTCTACATAAACCTGGTGATATAGACACATCAAAGTAATTGTGGGGTCACAGAAGGAGATACTTGGCATAGTCTGAGGTGGATGATGGAGAAAGCTTCTCGAGGGGATAACATTTGGTCTGGGCATTCAAAGAAGTATAAGGAGGATTTTGCTAAGCCAAGGAAGATAAGGGCATTCTAGGACAAGCATACGTGTGAGAAACAACATATTGTTTAGTAAAATCAAAGAGCTAAAATAATGACAGGTAGAGATGACCCAGAGAGGAGCTGTGAGAAAATATAGAATGGGTCCAGAAGAGAAACCTGTGCAATTTGAGGGGAGAGAACTGAAAGGAAATGGGGAGGGCTGGGGGTTGTGCTGGGGGTAAGCTTACGTTTTACTGACTGAAAGTTAGCTATGGAAACCTAGCCCTTGAAACTCAGAGCTGGATAATTTTGAAATGGGATTCTTTTTATGGTCTTAAACATATTGTTATGGTCATGTCAACACTGGTGCTGAAGAGGGGAATTTGCTTATAGCTGAGATCAAAACTCCCAGAAAAATAAGGAGCAAAAGTAAAAGTAAAAGGTTGGCCATCTATTTTCTCAGCAGCATCAACTATCCCTCCTTCTCCTTTCGAAGCATAGAAAATCTGAGCAACTGCCTTGCTATGGAAGATTTTTAGAGCAGGATTAATCAGCACCTGCTGATTAAATTTTGGGCTATAAAATTGCAATATAGCTGTCACAGTTCTAGTGACTGTAGTCCATGTTATGTGTTTTCCAATGAAGTGCTTAATTAAAATGAATGCCTAGATATTTAAATTCCTTGAACCAATCAATCAGCTGGTTGTTTATGACTTAATCAAATGGCCCCTTTTGTCCCTAGTGTGTTGTGGTATATAATGTAGTTTGTGGCTTCTAAACCAGAAGTTAACCTATACTCCTGAGAATTGAGTTCACAATCTCATGAGCACCTAACTTTATCAAAGGAGATAAATGCAGCAAAACACACTAACTGCTACGTTAATGAAGACATGAACAACAGAAGATAATGTGTGGTAATCCAATCACTGGCTTCAAAATGCCTCCTCTCCCAGTACATTCTCAACCCTTTCCTATTTTTAAGAAGTCTCAGGTTGGGTGTGGTAGCTCATGCCTGTAATCCCAGCACTTTGGAAGGCCAAGGCAGGAGGATCACTTGAGCACGACAGGGTGAGATTGAGCCTGTAGTGAGCCATGATTGTGCCACTGCACTCCCACTTTGGGTGAAAGAGCAAGAGTTATAGAGGAAAGAAAGAAAGGAAGAAAGGAAAGGCAGGAAAGGCAGGAAGGAAAGGAAGGGAAGGAAGGAAAAGAAGGAAAGGAAGAGAGAAAGAGAGAAAGAGAGAGAGAGAAAGAAAGGAAGAAAGAAAGAGAAAGAAAGGAAGAAAGAAAGAAAGAAAGAAAGAAAGGAAGGAAGGAAGGAAGGAAGGAAGGAAGGAAGAAAGAAAGAAAGAAAGAAAGAAAGAAAAGAAAGAAAGAAAGAAAGGAAGGAAGGAAGGAAGGAAGGAAGGAAGGACGGAAGGACGGAAGGACGGAAGGAAGGAAGGAAGGAAGGAAGGAAGAAAGAAGTCTCAGTAATTAAACATTTATGTTGCATGAAAAAGCAATTGACACCAGTGAAAAAATCCTTTGTTTTACTTCCTTCTGCAACTTTTTTTCTTTTGGCTTTTAATCATGATGGGCAGAGAACTGAGAGAAATGGAATTGTTTCTTTTAATGATAAATTAATTTTAATTGGCATTGCTAGATTTAGCAAATAAAAACTACAGGATGCCCAGTTAAATTTGAATTTCAGATAAATGGTGAATACCTTTTTAGTATAAGAATGCCCTAAACTTATATTTGTTTATTTGTTGTATTTTATTCGGCAACCCTAATTTTAAGGCTTTGCTAAGATCACAAAGTCCTTCTTTAGAGACACTATGGGACTACTAATAGGCAAGGGAGAATACAGACGTGAGGTAAGACCGGACCATGCTCAGTTATGGCAGAACAAACGCAGAACTGTTTTCTTGAGCCCCAAGTAGGTTATCTTCCATGAGGACACCCTAGTACACTTTGGCTGGGCAAGTCATTTGATGAATTTCACAATCTTCCAAATGAGTCCATGGAATTTTAGGTAGCATACCCAGAGAGAAATAAACTTCTTTAGACCAAACTACAAATTAACAAATTTGAGAGCCAACATTTTGACTGCTGGCAGCTATCCAGTCCAAATGTACAGTTAAGCATGGTGGCTCACACCTGTAATCCCCACAATTTGGGAGGCCGAAGTAGGAGTTTAAAAAAATCAGGACTTTATAAAAACACAAAAATATGAACTGCCAATGAAAATGTTCACTTTAAGAAATATAACTAACTTAGGAAGAACCCCCTATACATCAACTAGAGCAACCATAAAATAGAATTTGGACACTAATCTTCAATTTCTTCCTCATTAAAAAATTAGAAAAAAAATTTCTGCTAGATTGGTTAAGACAAGAGAAAAAATAATCTCGGTTGTAGAAACAACCAGAGTTTTCTTCTTCCATCTAGTCCTAATTTTGGAGATTCTGCCACATATTACATTCTGTTCTTGTCCCATACTTATCTCTCTGGGATGATGTTTCCATGTTTCAAGGTCTTTATTACTATGTAAAGATTTTTCTTAGTATCTATTTGCAATTGCTCCTTGTTTTTTTCTCAGCTTTAAGTCCTGAGTGTTTTCCAAGTATACTGCTAAGGAGGTTTGCTCCTTCCAATACACTCTGCCAAATGTGTGCTAATTACTTACCACATTAGGAATAGCTTCGCTATTTGTCTGCTTGGTGCTACAGCTCAGCTTTCTAGTCCTCACTGCCTGTGCAATCAGCATTCTTCTCCACCAGATCTATATACGCCAGGGTGAGAGGAGGGTGTTTCTCACCTTTTGGGGAGGAAATATTTATTAAGAGTCTGATTTGAAAATAAATTTCCCACAGAACAGAAACACTGTTTCTGAAACACATTTCATCCATTCATTCCTCCACAAATTATTATTGAGCGCCTGTTATGTGCTAAGCACGATACTAGGCCCTGGGAACATAACTGTGAACAACAAAAAAATGTGGAAGTCTAGTGTGGAAGACAGCTATTTATACAACCATTCCAACAGTGTCAAATGTTGTTGATAGAAAATGATCAAGTTGACATGTGAGAACGCCACAGAGGGACTCTGAGATTAGGAAATACTTTTTGGAAGAAATGATATTTAAGCTGAATAGTATTTAGTAAACTTAAAAGAGTGTGGAAAAGGGATGTATCAAACAGCACGCGCGAAGGTCCCTAAGGAGAGATGTAGAGGATGATATAATTGTGGAAATGAAAAGAATATAAAGGAGTCTTCAGTAGATCCATAAATATCTATGGAGTGCCTACTATATGCCGAGCATTGCTCTACAATCTGGAGGTACAGCTTTGAGTATTACATACACCGAGGAGGAGCTTAAATCCTGGTAGAGGAAGACAGACAACAAATAGGGAAGTATTAATAAGATAACCCCATGTATTGACAAGTTCATTTTAAAAATATAAGGTAATGAGATACAAATGAGTGGTTTGGGGGTAGGGCTGCTTTAGCTAGCCTTTAGCCAAGGTAGTCAGGGAACATGTCTTTGAGGAGGTAACATTGTGGTGAGGGCTGCATGTTGAGAAGCAGCAGCCGAATTGAGGTTTGGAAGGGCAAGAATGTCATGAGACAAGGAAGTTCTCAAGAGCTTTGAAAGCCATGTTAAGAGCTTAGGCTTTATCCTAAAGGCACTGGGAAAATAGTAGAGACTTTTCAGCAATGGAGTAATATTTTATTAAAATAGTGATTATTTTGGTTTTGTTGTAGAATCTGGATTGGAGAGGAACAAAACAGAATCTGGTGGGTGAGTCTGAGGAATGGAGAAAAACAATTGGGCCAAACAATTATAGAAGAGAGAGTTGACAGGTGTGTTGATTGAATTGTTGTGGAGGATAAGGGAGAGAGGGATGAGGGAAGGCTTTTTTTCTTTTCTATCACGTGCAACTGGGCGGGCTGGTGGTAATATTTGCTTTGAAGAGGAGATGAAAATGATGAGTTCTATTTAAGAGGAATTGAGTTTGAGGTGCCTATAGTATACCCTACTGGAGTACCCAGAAGGCAGACAGATTCATGGGCCTGGGACTCTAAAGAAAAGTCTGGGTTGGATAGATGGACTTGGGAGTTATCAGAAGAGCAGACAATTAAAGCCAAGGGAGAGTGGGAATTATGAAAATAGAGCCTTGAATATAGCCCTAAGGACAACCAGACTGTGGCTGCTCAGGAGTATGACAGTTTTCCATGGTTGATATTATGCACACTAGACATCCTCTAAACACATCTCCTGGCAGTTGTTAAAATACCTGTCTAGTGCATGATGACTTTCATCCTACAAAAGTTATTAAATACCAAGCATGCCACAGGTCCTGCGTTAGGCAAGGTATAACACGTTAAGCATACCTCTAGAAAAGAAATGTGTAGAGTAGGCCAAGTATGTGAATAGGATAACAAGGATATGAGGATTTTCCCTGCATATTGATTAATAACAACAATAAAGAGTAATTGAGTACCTTTGTGTCAGGCACTGCATCAAACATTGAATGGGCTTTTATAAATCCTGAGCCCAAGAAGCTCACAGACAATGGCAGAGTCATTCAGATAGGAATTTAATAGTAGCACACTATGGTATATGAAAAGATAGGTAAAGGATACTGTGGGACATGGAAGAGAGGGTGGTGGAAATGGTCCCTATGGAGAAAAGATGATGATACAAGGTTATAGGCCAAATTCCTAACCCTAGGACACAGACAGGTAGTTTCAAGTAATTATACTAATCCTTACCAGTACTCACAAGGATAAGGCCCTTAAAACTCTCTAGGGTTCATAAAATATTTGTGACCTGGTGGGTATTTTGAAACTGTTTTCAAATACTACAGTACTAAAAGCGTTATATGGTATTGATACAAAATAATTTAACTAAATGTCAGCTCACTACCTCCTAGCCCAGATCAGGTAGCTGAACAGGAATCTATGTTCTAAGTAGGAAAGCCAGAGACTGCTTTAAGGAACTGCTGATAACTTGTTCCCTGTAGCTGGGTAAACATGTGACATTAAATTTCTCTAGCCCAAAGATCTCTTACCTGTAATCTAGGTTAATGGATATGATAATTTCTACATTTTGAGATGATCCAGAAACAGACCAAGTATTCATGAGATCCTGAGTGTTCTTGTTACCCCGGTAGCACTAACATACACTTCTAGATATATCTTCAAGTCAGGCATTGCATTTGAAATACATGAGACTGGGCATTACATCTTGGGATATCCGTTGACTTATCCAATGAATTAATAACATTATTTGCACTACCAATGAATAAACTTATTGAATAGAAAGTACAAGCAAAACCATGTTTTTGGTGGGGCTGGCTGAGATCTCCATCTGATGGATGTGGATAAAGAAAAACAATAAGAAAAACAACACAGTTGACCTTTGGACAACATGAGGGTTAGGGCAGCTAACACCCCACACAGTTAAAAATCCACGTCTAACTTTTGACTCCCTCAAGACTTAACTACTAAAAACCTACTGTTGACCAGAAGCCTTACCCATAACATAAATAGCCGTGACACATATTTGGTATGTTGTAGACATTATATACTGTATTCTTAGAGTAAAGTAGGCTAGAGAAAAGAAAATGTTCTTAAGAAAATCATAAGGAAGAGAAAATATATACTATTTATTAAGTGGAATTGGATCATCACAAAGGTCCTCATCCTCATCTTCATGCCGAGTAGGCTGAGGAGGAGGATAAAGAGAAGGATCTGATCTTGTTGTCTCAGTGGTGGCAGAGGCAGAAGAAAATGTGCACGTAAGTAGATATATGCAGGTCAGACCCCTGTTGTTCAAGTGCCAACTGTATGTAGAAGCAGAACCCAAATAGCCTAAGGTTGGCATTATTAATTAGCAAAAGTTATTAGTAACCAGGTGATAAGGTTGCATTTTCTCTGGGGTAAGGAATTGTTTCTAATCCTAACAATGCGATGTTATTTAGAGTCTAACAATTCTGGCTGAAGCCAACATATTAACACTAACTCTGCCTTTCACATTACTTTTCCAGTCCAGCCTTTCCAAATAAATCAACACATTTGTTGATTAACCTCAGCATAAATTTTCAGTTATTTTTGGTGTACTAATAGCCTACTCAAGTCACACAGGATTAAGTAAAGGGAAGGCAATAATGCCACCTTTGAACACACCAAAAGGGTTAATGAAGGACCAGCCAGACAGTTGAAGAGCTTACAGAGTGAGCCAAGAGAGAGAATGTAAGAATGAATATAATGGCATTAGTTGAATAGTCTACAGAGATTTGGGGCTCTAAGGGCTAGACCCTGCTGTAGCAGGACCTACCAAAAAAATGTTCAGAGCAATTATTGCCCAATATAGACTGGAATATTCTGCTGACTTTTTAAGCACAGGAAGGTCAGACCCATCTGTTCCATCCTATGGAGCAATTTTGGAGTTAGGAAGTGTCTGTCCTTATTGTCCAGCTCCTTTAGTAAGAGATCCTCCTACTGAACAGCAGCAATCATGCCAGAAAGACCTAATTTCTTCTGAGTTTTGAGCTAGTTTTCTCTTTTGGCTGCCTTCTCATGAGCCTCGGGAATATGGATAAATGAAAAAGTGTACTTTTCATTCTCAAAAGTCGATAAATATAAACCTCTAACAGCCACACCAAACATTTTGTCTAGTACAAAAATGAATCTGGACATTTTACAATCACATCCATGAAATGCGAAGAGCATCACCTGCCCCTCTGAGCTCAGGTGCTGTATGAGAACTGCAGCCATCGTGCAGGGCACGGTTTTCTCTGAGCACAAGCTCTCTGAAGGCTGGTGGGATTCCTCCCACCACCGCACAAATCTCTGTTGCCAAGTAATGCCAATGAACTTCAAAAATCTAGAGCAAGCAAGTGTAGTTCAGTACATTTTTTAAAATTCAGATTCATTACCATAAAAATGAGCCACTTCTCTGTCGCAGCTTGCAATTCTCTCTGACATACAATTGACTGATCAGAAGACCTGTGCTTATAGTAGGAGACTTTTTGCATCCCTCTTTGATCTGATTTCCCTCGATTTAATAGACAATTATAGGCTCTTTAAATCCCAAAGGTTCAGAGACAGCAAATAATTACCAGTAGTAATTTTAGAATAAAGTCAATCTAAATGAGTTCAGTTAAATTATGCAATACTAAGTAGTGGCTTTTTTTATTTTAAACAAGGACAGCTAACCAAAACCCCAAACAATCGTTATGCTGCCTCAAATTTTTCCTGACAGCTGCCTGTTAAACTTCTGACCTGTTAGTAAAAATCTGCACACCATCTACCAAAGGGATACACACATGATTGCAAACTTCTGTTCTAAGGACATTAAATAAATTATTTCTTTAAGATCATATGGCAGATCTATAATTAATTAAACCCACCATGATATTACGGCAAAATAATTTAGCTTTTCTAAAAAGGTAAATGTAATTTGCCGATCTGGTATTTGGAAGAATGCTTTGCCCAAAATCAATTCCTTTAGTTTCTAGAGAATAGAAACTAGAGGCAATCTCATTTTAATTATATCTCTTTATTGCTAACAAAGGAATGATTTATGCAATTAAATTAACTGGCTAGAAAATTATTCTCAGCTGGGCTGTCCTAATTCTTTGCTTTCTGAATTGCAGGCTCTTATACTTTCCTATGTAGATTAATTTTTCTGATATGCAAACAATGCCTCCTGTGTGCGTCTTTTCCTTTTTTTTTTAATTCAAAAGTCTCCTTTTCTTCTTGCCAATGACATGAGTAATATTTGTTGAATTGTTGGGCTTTGACTAGTT